GAGTTCCAGCGTTCTCCTGCACGACCTCCCACCTCCTACCTCCCAGTACCTCAACAGGAAGGGACACATCTGTGAATCCTCTGGCGTGACTTCAATTCTTTACAGCTGTAAAAACCACTGCATGGAAGGAAAAGAACATTTCCTAGACTGGGAATCCCCAGACACTTTCCCAAACTGAACAAGTGAACAGGGTTTTGCTCTGGTGAATTACACCCCATCAAGGAGAGTGCAGAGAGAAAAACAGTCCTGAGATGACTGTGTCTCTAAATGTCTGTGCTTCACTGCACTCCACATTCATTTTTCTGACTTCTCTGAAATGCAGTCCTGCCCTGACTTAAGAGTTCTGCTTTGTGGGCAAGTTATACTCACTTGTGACAAGTTATGCTTTCTTCCAAGATGTGAGTCTGAGTTAGGGGAAAAGCCCATTGCTGGGATTTCATAGACAGAAGGAATAAAAGATCATTTCTTTCCCCAGTTTGGCCCACAAAGCCCTAGCTCATCTTCTGACCACTCTCAGTGCCCTGGCTGCCCGGGGCTGGTCCTGTCCTGTGGCCTAAGTCCACAGCAGGAAGCTGGGCTTGATACTGGCCGCTATGGATCTCCGGAGAGCCTTTGTGGTGGGAGTTTGCCTATTCCTCTTGGATTGCCCAGTTGGCATCTGGGGCATGAAGAGAGAAGCAACATGAGTGAGGAGGAGAGACATGACGATATGAGAAAGGAGAAAGAAAACGAAACACACTCCACACCTTTTCTCTTCGAGGTGGCCTAGGTTTGAATCCAAATATACTCTAAAAAAACCTAACGTTAACTTTTCCAGGTAGTTAGATATTACACTGCTTCTCTAGCTCCTGGGAATTTATCTGTAACACACTAATAAGAGATAATGCGAAAACTTATTAAAAAGGATTATCTAATTTGAGAAATCAATTAGCAAAGCTAAGACTTGAGGCGTGTTATCAATACATTTAGTTAAAACTTCTCTGCAGTTGGTAACTAAATTATTTTGCACTCAAACATATTCAGTTAGTTAATTAAAGCAAGCTATGCTGATTAAAAAGAGCTTAATTATATGTCAAATTTTTATGCCAAATTAGCCAAAATGGGTCAAATTGATTTGTGAAGCTTAAAAAGTTTCCCTAAACAGAAAAAAATTTTAAAAATTGATTATTATGCAGTAATTTTTCATTCGTTCACAAAGTGGTAGTTTATTAAGTACTTAGACAATGGATAGTTTACTATTAAAAATGTTAAATTGAGTAAAAGACCAAAATAAAATAGGAGTTATAAACCATAGACATTTCAGGGCAGGTGCAGTGGCTCACACCTGTAATCCCAGCACTTTGGGAGGCTGAGGAAGGTGGATCATCTGAGGTTAGGAATTTGAGACCACCTGGCCAATATGGTGAAACCCCATTTCTACTAAAAATGCAAAAATTAGCCAGACATGGTGGTGGGCACCTATAATCCCAGCTATGTGAGAGGCTGAGACCCAAGAAGTGCTTGAACCACAGAGGCAGAGGGTGCAGTGAGCCGAGACGGTGCCACTGCACTCCAGACTGGGCGACAGAGCAAGACTTCGTCTCAAAATAAATAAATTCATTGAATAAAATAAACCACAGACATTTCAAAAGTAAAAACTAATTCAGAGAAATTGTAATTATTATTTTGACCTTATAAGAAGCACTATCGCATAATTATCAGAGAATTTCCCTGTGGAATTTGTTATAAGATTAGGAAAAACCAAAACAGGTAGCATTTTCTCAGAAAAAAAATACTCTCTTTGCCTTTCCTTTCCCTCTGTTACAAGACAGTGGTGTTCAGAAGGTTATCTGGGTGTGTTACACTATTTTATTCTCTGTCCGTAAAGGAAAATGCAGATATTTTTCGGAGGATGGGGGGAAAAAGAAATCAAATTCCAATGTAGTTGATGAAGCTATATGACCATCCATATCAAGGCAAGTCTCTTTAGACCTGTAAGGACTCAGAAAATGTGTTACAGCACAGATCTGAGTTTCCTTTGGGTTCATTTTAGAAATTTCACCAATTGAATCAAATGTACAGGTAAAAATTTACATGTGTGGGAAGTCACGTGATTGCTGATTTTACCTTTTCCAACATTATTGACAAGTACAATGAACACATGACATTCTCATGAGACAAAGCACAATAGCTTTTTAAACCATTGCGATGCAGTCATCACTTACACTACCTGGCAGAAGCACCACAAAAGAGAAACAGTTCATTTTGAGAGTTCCACAGATTCATCCGTGGGAATTTATCTACTCAATCCTCAGTAACGACATCAGGAGAAGATATGGACGATCAGAAAGGTGAACGTCTGAGCCAGGGGTGACATTCTCCACGGAAAGGAAGGGACACGGGACAGCAGCACGCTCCATGCCAGGACTGCCCACCTACCGTGTGCTAGTGCTGAACTGCCCACTGGCCTCAGTCCTCAGAGAAGCAATCCTGCCAGGTAGTTACTGTGTATCAGTTCTTTTGATAAAGATCTTGAACTCAGCTAGGCACCAGGGCACACTGCTGGATTCAAGCACAGTTGGGCTTGGGTCCACCTTGCTGTCCCCCTCCCGATGGCTCACTCTCAGTCCACTGCTCCATAAAGTCTCCTACAAACCTTGAGGTTAGGTCTTTTCTGGAGCTCCCCCAAGAAGAGAATTATCTTTCCATGTTGGACCTTGTTTATTTTCTTCTCCTGCCACACATGTACTTGGATATAAGGGAAACAGGATCTAGCCAACACTGACCATTTTTCCTCTGCGATGCATGAAGGTGCATCCTCCTGTTGGTCTCTGAGGTCACCAGCTGGGGGTGGGGCAGGCAGAATTGCCCAGCTCTCCTTCCTGAGCTCCTTGGCCCTTTCCAGGAAGAAGTAGCTTTCTGTGGAAGGGCACTCTGCCTTGACACCATGACACTAATCATGAGAGCACAAGCCTGCTTCCCACCACATCCCGGCCTCTAAATCTCCATGCCCAAGGATCCCACAAACATTCTCATGAGCTTCCCAACTCAGGGTATCAAGCCGTTTACACAAATAATCATCCTCCACTGTAGCTGCTGTAGAATCATTAAGGGCAAAAGGGGAGCATCTGCCTGGCCACCTAAGGAATCGAATGCTCTTCATTCATAAATGTCCAAGTCATCACTCAAAACTTCTATTGAAGCGCTCATCACATTTCTGTTTCAGTCCAGAAATCATGGCACTAAACAAATCGCCAAAGGCCAAAGACATAGAAATTCAAACACAAGGAACTCATCTCCGCAGGCCTGCTCTCCAATTTTTATTTTCACTACGTTCTTTTGCAATGGGGTAAAAAATCAAAGGTGTAGGGGGCTGGGCCCCAGGAGAAGCACAGCCTTCCCATTGTATTTTAAGCAGAGAAGGGGAGCTTCCAGAAGACACCTTACTTTTCTTCATTATTTAATTAACCATAGAGGGAATGACGGCAGCAGTTATAGAGCAGTGACCATGTGCAGGCATCGTGTTAAGCACATGCATTCATGTTCGTAATCTTAGTAAATCTGCATGGCGACTCTTCAAGGTAGGTTCTTGCATTATCCCCACTTCACAGATAAGTAAGCTGAGCCTTAGAGAGCTTAGGTCATTGTTTCAGGTTGCACAGCTGGGCTGGATTTCGAGTCCTGGGGCACCACACAGTTCTTAGTTGCTATATTCTACTGCTTTCCATTAGACCTTCAAGTGAGGGTATTTAGATTTCAAATAAAGCCAGGTTTTTCTACTGGCTGCTTAACTCACTGCAAAGTCTCATGTTAAGATCCCCCAGTTTCACTGGACAAGAGGTCAGTCTAGGGGTGGTGCAGGGAGGAGAAAGAAGGGAACCCAGGGAATTCAAATTAAACAGGAAAATGGCTTGAAGGAGCTAAATCCATGACTTGGAGCCAAATGGTTTGGCACATGCAGCCATGTTCGGGGATTTGTGATGACAGAGACAGTCTCTTTTCCACTTCGAGTTGCCTTTATAGAACTTTATCTTTTATGTCCAAAGATCAAATAAAAAATCATATTTAATGAGAACTAGGGAAATAAACTGGAGGCAATTAAAGAGCAAAAATAACCTCTCTGTGGCTTCAGACCATGGGAGTTTTCTAATTTTAAGAGGCACAGGCAAATCACTTAAACAAGGCTGGGCTGTGTTCATCTTGTGTTTCCCCCCACACCCGCAGTGGTTAAAATTATAGGCAGCCATAGCTCTTGAACCCATGGCATTGTGTAGCAAATGGAAGTACACCCAGGCCAAACACAAACACACCTACTCAGAAATGCAAACTTGCAGCCTGGAAGTCAAATCCAAGTCTCCTTTGTAACCAGTTGCTTTGCGTGGAAGGGGTTAAACAGACTTTGAAAAGGTCATGAAGTCCTGATTCTTAATAAGAGTCCTTCCTCCCTCCATTCTCCAGCCCTCTTTCTACTGTCCTTGGACTGTGGACATGCAGTCTCACAGCTGGCCAAGATCCGAAGAATCCTCGTTTTGCTTCCTTCTTTTCCACGTGCATGTTTGATTTGGGCTAGACCCTAAGGCAAACCTGAACTCTTCCTCAGGTAGAATAACCAGACTCATTCAAACACTCAAAGGCAGCCAAGTGACGAGATTTCATTTAGGGGAACCAGCTCTGCCCTGTACTACTGTGGTTTCGGCCAGAATTTGGCAAGCCCCCCTCAATCTTGGAGTCAAGCTAACACCTGGAAAAACCCTGCAGTGTAGCCAGCTTTCCAGTAAACCTGCACACCTATAAAAGCATGGAATTGCCTAGAGGACATCACTCTGAAATCCCTCTCGGAGTTTCCCAATTAGGGACATAAAATGGGGCTGACTCAACGATGAGATCAGCTGCTGAACAGCAAGATGTCTACCCTGGGTTTTGAGACTTTGTCCTGCACGAGAGGTTTCATATACTATGTTCCAAGGTCAAGCCTATCCTTGGTCTGCAGCCCAAGCCCATCCCCAGAACACCGTACTGACCGGTAGAAAGTGGCATCTTCTACCGTTGAGTGGCACGTCTGAAACTCCCAGGATCTGAGCTTCTGGCATTCTCGATGGGCCCGGAGCTTTACCTTCACGGTCCCTTGACACAGCTCGGGCACTGGCTTTCGCTGAGGCCTGTTGCAGAACTCATTGGACTCCACTCTCCAGGACTCAGCAAACTCGTCCACGTCAAACTTGAAGTTTCCATCTCCACCAATTAAGTCGTCACGTTTATGTCCATTGTAGTTGCCACAAAGACCACAGAGCTTGCCCTTGAGCTGCGGGGCAGCCATGACTTCTACAAAACTGTCTCCGTCCCAAGATATTTCCAAGCCTAGAGGAGGAGGAGAGAAAAAGGAACTCAACCACTCATTGATCCACTAATAATTCGGAGACGTATACATCCTTACACAGAACATACGACCTACTGCCCTCCAACAAGTAACGCTGAGGGTCTGTCCAAATTCTTGGTTACCACTTAGTCTTACCGTAGTGAGTAACGTGTGAAATTTTATGAGTCATTTGCTGGTTTGGGCTTAGAATTCTTAAACTATATTAAGTTACACCCTGTGATAACACCCTGTGTAGCCTGGTTTGACCTATAGATGACTATCCCTTGACCGTCCTCCTCTAGGGTTTATATTTTTTCCCTTCTCCTAAAGTAATTGTGTTGGTTCAAATCATGTGTTCATTTATCTAATGACTATCATAATGTGCAAACGGAAAAAAAAAGAGAAGATTGTTTTTTAATGCGATTATTTACAGCCAGAAATTCCACCACATAATTATTCCTGCAATGCCCAAGGAAAATTTCCAAATTATTTCCTATAATGATAATATTAAAGCAATCAACATGTAGTTTCTGAATATATATCTCCTTCAGAGGCAACACTGATATAATAAAAACATTTGCCCCCTCATTATTTTACAGTCATGCCTGAGGCGTGGACACTGTTTGATTAACATTTCCTGGGTTTGAGTTGTTGTGAAACCCTTCCAACCTCTATCCCTTGGGCCTCCGATTTGGGTTTGCTCAAAAGCTGCAACGTTTCAGGCGGTGGCGGAGGATAACAGGCCATGGGCGAGAGCTCTTCTTGTGCTATTACATCAGCAGGCCAGGACTGCTGGCTCATCCAGGAAACTCCCTTTACTCCAGAATGTAGAGAACTTAGACCTTTCTTGGTTTGCTAAGCTGACTATTTAAAATGCTGAAGGAATTGTCTGAAAGTATGTATGTGTCTCCAGACATGCTGGTCCAAGACTTCCAGGAGCCACACTGGCCATTGGTCCTTCTGAATGGCAGAATTTTTATGTCACAGGGAGAACAGCCAGGTTATGCTGTCACACAGCATAGATACATCTGACCAGAAGGTCAAGAAGAAATGCTTTCATATCTACTCTCACAGTGTGTGAAGATATCGTCCATAAGAGAAAGAAGAGACTTTCCTGAAAAGTCTTCTGAGGTTCAACCCAAAAAAAGTGACAAATTTTCTAACCAGAGTTTTTGTTTATGTCTCAAACGTGTGTTTTATTACTACTCCGGGAGCACCCTGGCAGTGCCTGAGTCTCCCCAATGAATGGATGAACTCTGTATGAGTGAATGCAAGCGGCCACCTGTGGCATGGACACCAGGACACATCTACAGTGGGTCAGTGTGTATTTCGGCCCTGGGACTTCTCCTTATTCACTGTCTCTGGCTCCAAACAATTGCCCCCACAGAGGAAGCCTCTTTTTAACAGAATGGTCTCTGTCCCCTTTCCCCCACGTATGTATGTTTTTGGTTTTGTTTGTTTGAGATAGAGTCTTGCTCTGTCACCCAGGCTGGAGTGCAGTGGCACGATCTTGGCTCACTGCAACCTCCACCTTGTGGGTTCAAGCAATTCTCCTGCCACAGCCTCCTGAGTAGCTGGGATTACAGGTGCAAACCACCACACCCAGCTAATTTTTTTGTATTTTAGTAAAGACGGGGTTTCACCATATTGCCCAGGCTGGTCTCAAACTCCGAAGCTCAGGCAATCCACCCACCTTGGACTCCCCCAGTGCTAGGATTACAGGCTTGAGCCATTGTGCCCAGCTGTATGTATTTTTTTTTAAATCTTTCCTCTTGTGATTGTGACAAAAACATTTTTCATTTTGCCTGCTTTGAGGTGCTAGAAAGAGCAAAATGACTTTCCTCCTAAAAGGCTTTGTTTCTGTTCCTGAAAGATCAAGATTAAGCTGACGAGCAAATGTTCAGAAGTTGGAAGATGGGGTGGTGACGGGACAGGAGAAATAGTGGGAGGGAGCGTGGGAGGGAAGAGAGAGAGAATTTTATCTAGATGTGAAGCTGGCATAAGGCAGCAACATCAGAGTGACGTGTGGAAGATCGGGAAGAAACACTCAGAGGTCAGACTCCTGAGCCGATGTACCCAAGTTTGGACATAGTCCAAGAGGAGAGAAGGCCGATGGCATTCCTATGAGTGAGTGAGCCACACAGCTGCCACAAGTGTCCCTGCAAAGAGAAGTACTGGTAGAATAACCTGCGGTCTAAAACTGGACTTCTCAAGAAATAAATGGAAAGACCCATAAGGAAATCACTCTGTGGCCAATGGGAGAAATAGAAGCATGATTAGACCAAAGAAAATTTAAGAGATTTCTTGATTGAGAGAAGAGTCTGAGTTCAGAAAAGAAATTAAATAAACTTAGATAAAGAAGAAGGAGAGTCATAGGAAAGTCTCTGGGAAATAATGTAATAAGGAGAAGACAGGGATGGGACCAGGTATGAGAGAAGGCACAGGCTGCTAGGAACCCAAAGGCTGGGCTGACCTCCCATGTGGATCTCACTCTGGCAACTACAACTACCACAGAAAATGAATTCTATTTCTTCATCCTCTATCATCCAACACATTATCTAGCACACAGTATGTCTCAGTAAATAATTGAATTACCCTGGTAACGTTGATACAGTGAATCTGTGAAGCCAAAGACACTGAGTTTCATGCTCGTCAAGATACTGAAATAACCATTTTGAAAGAAGACAAGAAAACTGTAAGACGATTTGTAATACCCTCTGTCAGGTATTGAAGAAACTTGACCTCACAAGCCTATAGCCAGGCATCTGCCCAGCAAGAAAAATGAGGGGAGAAAATCAATTCCGTACAAAGTTTAACTTTTACAGCATAATTCTGAAGGTTTTCCACGTTGCAAAATTTTCCCAACTACAAATCTCTTTCCTAGACAGCAGGCAAATACTGTTCTTCTGAGCACCACAAATGGTTGAGAATGTGCCCCCCAGGGAGTTCCAAAGTCTTTACTGACCGTGATATACTCAGTTTGAGACTTTGGACAACTGAGTTCACGGGAATTCAACTCACAGTGAATGACTGTGTTCTTTCTTCGCAGTGGATTGGCGGTCCATACACTCTGAAAGGTGCAGATCGCCGTGTTTCCAGCAAACCCTTCTGAAAACTCGCCACATCTCCTTCATAAAACCCGATCCCCAAAGTAAGAGAATAATCTGTGATTCACTCTCCTGTCTTCCTCTTTCTCCATGTTACCATAACATTAAGAAGATTTTTCACAGACTGATGCTAGGCTTCGCATTGTGAAGGGATGGCTTGTTCTACTACGGATGCCTTTGCCTTGCTGTATCATTTACATATGAGTTTGCATGGATATTTTCACACTCTACATGAGCAGAATCCATACAAAGTAGATTACAGTAGTGAAATAGAAAAAAAATCCCCTAATAAGTTATAATTGAGGGAATTGTTCTTCCAAAGAATATTTTAAATAGGCATCATATGTGATTTAAACATCCCGGAAGGGTTTGAGAGGCTGGGCACAGTCCTTCCTGCAGCTGGGATGAGTTTCTCCGTTCTCTGCATGGGAAATTGGGTCGAAATAACTGGCAGAATAAGAAGGCTAGAGCTGAAGCATATGTCGCATGTGGGCATGCGAGCGGCAGCCACATTCCTTCCACTGCAGGAAGGGCCATCCGATTTTCCCTTCCTACCAATGAATGCTTTCCCAACCTGTTCTTCCCCCTTCAAACGTGTGATCTGGCTCCAGACCACTAGTTGGGTTTTGTTTTTTGGTTTTTTTTTTTTTGCGGTTGTTGTTGAATATTGTGGATATTGTTGTTTTGTATTGTTTATTTTCTGCTTGTTATTGTTACTTTTGCTGTTTCCACTGAAAGGAGAGAGGAGGTGGGAAAACAAGAGAGGAGGTGCAAAATTCCTAGTTATACCATAGTGAGGTTTACAAATTGATTAGTTTTTCTGCTCAAATTCTACACCAAAGAAAGGGCAAGGTAGGCTGTATTCTCTGGGTTCGCCAAGTGTAAAGCTCTACCAAAAATAAAGGAAAAAGCCATGTTCTCCATGGCCGATGCTTTAAGGTACATGTGATTTAATTCTTTCAGATGAAGTGAACAGATGGCAGAAAGGAAAGATTTTTGAATTATTTGCTAAGTGTCCAAAGTTGGGGTGGAGGTGAGTGTTGAAAGCGGGCAACGCTCTCTCGAGCTACTAAGCCTTGTCCTACACCCTTGTTATATCAGCTAAGTAACTACAGCCTAATTCCAGCTGAATCTATTGTGTTCAGCTAGCTCACAGCCACCTGTGCTACCCTGCCAAATGATTCCACCGTAAGTGCAAAGCACATAAACCGCAGAGTGGAAGAGCCATTCCTCCCCAACTCCCATCTCCCAGCTGCAGGCTTGATTTAAGTTGCTATTTTGAAGAAAGTACCCTTTGATCACATGAACTTATAATTTTTTTTTAAATCTACAGAAGAACACTCAAAGGAAATGCTGTAATATTTTAAACAGATAATCCATAGGTGGTAAAAAAGAAAATATCCCTAAAGGGTAGCTCGAACTGAGATGGATAAACCAGGGTGGAAAACACTATTGTCTGGAAATAGAGTTGTTTCATTCAGAGAGTAAGTGAAAAGCAAGTTCAATGCCAAGAGGAACAGAGTTCTTCTCTAGGAGGCAGAGGGCTCGCAGGATTTGTGTGCTACAGGAAATTGTTCAGCTGGGTATTGAGTGCCATGAAAATGACTTGCATCGTGGAAAGAGAGATGGAAAAAAAAAAGTTTACATATACAACTGAATTCAAGGCATACAACAGTTAAAGTCACTAATCTCATCATGGCATTTATGATCTATTATTATTCTCTTGCTGCCTCATTCTTTTGCTCACATTTATAACCTGGAATCTTTGTAAAGAGTACATTTATTCCATGAGGGTGTGTCAGCTGTGAATGAAACAATACTGAACCTTTTAGGCTGTTCGTAATCCTCCCCTTTCTCCATGTTACTATGAGATTTACCTCAAGATTTCTTGGAGAACCAGGCTGTGGTTGACTAGTCATTTCCACTTCAGTAGAATCTATTGTGTTCAGCTAGCTTGAAAATACTGAAGGTGCTTTAATTAGTGCTGTGTAATAATGGGTCATCTTAGGCACACTTTACAGGGAGCCAAAAAACATTGCCTCCTTGAAAGGAATGACGTGGGGCCTACATTTACAGAGTGCCATGTCTTTTAAATATAATAGCAGGTGTGTGAATTTTCTAAGCAGGACAAATTCCTCTAAACTTGAATGAGTAGGCCTCTCACAACTGTGAAATAAAGAATAGAAATCTTTCCCCCTCGATAAAATGTTCCAGTACGTTAATACTTAACATTCTGTCACTGAAAACATATTATACTCTAACCAAAAGCTCCCTGTGCTGCTTCTTGGTTTCCTGTCTTTGTTTAGCTAAGCTGGCATTTCATAAGCTCAAATCAACTGATCCAAATACATTTTGGCTTGAATTGAAGCAACTACCAGGGTTCTGAAGGTATGGTAAAAACCGTCTCTATAATCCCTGAAAAGTGCCTGCTTTATCAGATGTTTCATCTAAAGAAAGGGGAACTCAATTGACACTTTCACATTTGTTGAATTCTTATCAATGCAAACAGCAGGCGATAACTGATTTCCTTAAAAGTATCATGCTTAAAAAAAAAATAGAGTATGCCAGAGGAAAGGCAGCGCAACATCCAACTGACAAAAGATATATATTAACCAAAGGTACCACAGAAGGAACCATATGTGAAATAACAAAATGTGAAAATGAGCTGAAATTATGCTCTGGGGCTGATATCGAAGAACTGAGTTCTGCTTCTAAAATGCCTTTCTTAGGTAACAAAAAACAGACAAGAATTTGAGCCTCACGGACCACTGGCAATCAAAAATAGTTTGGCCCAAGGGGAAATATACCAGCTCTTGGAGTGGAAAGGCAGAGACCAGTGAGTCTACAGCACCATGGGCTGCTGGGAGAGAGGGGGCCTTGGTGACACCGAACAGCCACGTGGGACATGGCTACTCCTGCATACCAGAGTCTGCAAGAACAAGCGCTTCTGCTGTGGACATTTAGTTTCTTTTGAACATGACTGATACCAAGCTGTCTGCTTTTGAGGGTTCCGCTACAAAGGCTTGGGCAGATGCTAAGGCAGTAACATTATTTCTCACAGATGTGAAACTGCACATAGCTGGCTGAGCTGGGGGCACTGACAATTCCGAGCTGGGCATCGATGGCCTAAAAGAGCAACAAAACTTGAGAGAGGGGTTATGTGGAGAGTACAACCGCTATTTTTAGGCAGAGGATGGAAAGGTCCCGAAGGTGGGAAGATTGCAAGGCTGATGGGACTGGCATCCAACCGCAAGACTCCATATGGTGCAAATGTCTCCCGCTGTGTGTGGCGTCTCCAGGATGTGCCTTCCCTGTGAGTGGGGGTGGGGTGGGGTGATGAGGCAAGTCCCACAGGTGGAACCTGGCTCTGCCTTGGGCATTCCCTCGGAGGAAGAAGCGCATCCCCTGAGCACTCTAACCGCGCAGCGCTGCTGAGATGGTAAGTGAGGCGGAGGGTAGAGCAAGGGGGAGGCCGCAGACGCCCCACCTGCTTTGGTGGTCACTTTCAAGAGGTAGCCGTCCAGGTCGATGTGGAAGTGCGGCGTGCGGCAGGGGAGCGCGATGCGCGAGCCGTTCCAGCGCACGGTGAGGTGCTGCTGCAGGCTGACCCTGCTCTCGCCCAGCACCAGCTCCACCGACTTGGTCCACGAGAAGGAGCGCGTCCGGCGGGCGTCGTTCTTCACCAGCACCTGGAAGGGCGAGGCGGGGGAGGAGCAGTCTTTTGTCAAAACGTACTGACAGGTCCCCTGAAAGTTAAATGTCCGACCGTCAAAAGTGTTGTAGTGGGGATCTCCAAACACCGTGCAAACGCCGGGCTCTGCGGAGGAGTGAGAGACAAAAGCCGGGTCACAATCCGAGGCAAGGATTCACAGAGAAATCAGGGGCACCTGCGGGGTAAGGGAGGGCCTTAGCAGAGGCGCACTAAGGGAAATCAATTTAAAAAGGGGGTCGTTTTTAAAGGTTTGTGCCAAACCTCACAGAATACTCATAGAATGCTCCTGTGCTTTCATACTTGAAAGTTATTTAAAAACCTTTGAAGTTTCAAAGCATACCCATTTTGTAGCCTGGGTCTGCTCCCATGGTCTTAACGTAAGGAATGAAGAAGCTGAACTGAGATAACTGAGCACTGGGCTTACTTCACCACCCACACACACAAGGGCAAAGTCAGTATAGAAATAAACAAGGGCAGCAACATAAATGACAGTACCCCGAGACACTGGCATGATTTCCATTTAACTGATTCAAAATAATTAGACACGCTGTGTGCTAAATGTTTCCCGTGCTCTTAAGGAAAACCGTGATATTCAATACCCATGTGTTTACCTCGGACAGGTCAATAGAATTGCCAAACAGATACATGTTTCATAGTGTCAGGAAACAGAGGACTGGTAATATTCACAGATAGTCTTTACATGTTTTCTAGAAATTTCTATATTTTTATCTAAGAACAAAGATCAAAATGGGATTAAAAAAATAAGCTACAGAATGTAATTTAATACAGTTAAAAAATTCCAATAGAGTCACCATTCTGAAATATAATTAATTCAAATGCTTATGAGATCAAAGTCAAGTCTGACACTTCGGGGCTGCCCAAAGATTTTTGCAGAAAAGTAAATATTGTTTCTTTTTTAAAAGAACTTGGAGTTGGTGTGTTCTGCATGTCAGTGTATCTTATCTGTTTTCAAAAAGGCATGAAACAACCAGGAAATGAGGAATCCACTTAGAGATATTAGCCCAAATAATTCTCTTAAAAAATCTGTAATAACAAGCACAATTTCCAGTCAACACTAGAATAATCGCCAGGTCAAGAATAATAGGCAGAATAAAAAGTACCAGGTCAAGAATAAGAAAATGTCATATAAGTAATTGCTCAGAATATCTAAGGGAAGGATTGAGTCAAGACAGAAGGATGTGCCAACTGATCTGACAGGATCAACGGATCCAATGCAAACATTTGCTTTTAATTTCTAAAGTGTCTGGAGAGTAATGTTGCTGTATGTTATGATATATTATGTTATTTTATATGTCAATTTCATATGACTCCATACAAAGCACATACATTTGGAATTTAATAAATTAATTTCTTGTTCTAAATTAGTTTTCCTTGTCAATATTTAATACAGACTATAAAAGAAAAGGTTTTGGCATTTATGAGAATTTCAGTGAACAAATACTTTAAAGAATATATAAAACGCACTCCTCGGGGTGGAGGGTGAAAGAAGTAGGTGGGAGAGACACAATTTGAAAGCTCAGTGGTAATATTTGAATTTAGCCTCCCTTTGTGTTCCTTTCTTCTTCTTCTTTTTTTTTTTTTTGAGACTGAGTTTCGCTCTTATTACCCAGGCTGGAATGCAATGGCGCGATCTCGGCTCACTGCAACCTCCGCCTCCTGGGTTCAGGCAATTCTCCTGCCTCAGCCTCCCAAGTAGCTGGGACTATAGGCACGTGCCACCGGGCCCAGCTAATTTTTTGTATTTTTAGTAGAGATGGGGTTTCACCATGTTGACCAGGATGGTCTCGATCTCTTGACCTTGTGATCCACCCGCCTCGGCCTCCCAAAGTAATGGGATTACAGGCATGAGCCATCGTGCCCAGCCCTCTTCTTCTTTTCTTGGTTGCTTTTCCTTCTGACCCCAGCTTTACACCACGTATTGCTTCACATTTTACCCTCTCCCCATCTTCCTGATTATCTTCTCAACTAGTTCCCATGTATCTAACCCTTTCATATTGCACTTACAAGTCCTTTCTCCATGTGATTACTTCCAAAATCATCCTATCCCACATTTCCCCCACATTTTCTCTCCCTGGCCATGAAAATGTCGCCTTTTGGTTGACAGAGAACAAGGCAGTTATTTGGGACTCCAAGTGGCATCTGGAGAATTGACAGTTCAGAGGTAATACCAACATGTGCCACAAGAGGAATACATAGCAACCTGACGGCCAGATGCAGCCAATCCAAGAGAAGGACTTTTCCAGGTCCCTAACTCCACCTTTTTAGCAAGAGTGCCCAGACCAACCAATGTTTTTGAGCTTTTGAGCATGCCACAGATGGACCTCAGCTTGGAAGGCCAAGGCACTTCCTAAAATTTTGAAATTATACCCCTGAGGAAGTCCATTCTCAGTGGGGGGCAGGCACAGGGAATGCCATGCCTGATGCCCACACTTTCCTGTGGAATCTTCTTTTTCCTTGTACCAGGGACAACAATTACATTAACATTATCATCAATCAAAGCACTAATAGCTAACATTTGTGGAAAACTCATCACATACCCTAACACTCCCACATGCCTGCTGACCATGGACACATCATCAGAAAATTGGTATTAGATTGTCTCCCAGTACTAAACAAACAGCTAAGCACTTTGTAGTAGAATCCATAAGATGGACTATGAATGATCTAGTCACTGAAAAAGTTTGTAAATAATCTTTGTGACTGAGGAAATGCTTATGACATGTTAAGTGAAAAACCAAAAACGAAACTCTATGTACAAGATAACCTTAACCATGTTTAAATAAGTATGCACACCTCCCCCCACCAAAACGTACACACCCCGAAACTGATAACAGTGGTTATTCCTTGGTGGAAGAACCAAAAATGACACTATTTTCTTTCTTATGTTTTTCTGGTTTTGACTTGTTATTTTTTGTTTTGTTTTTAGGAGTCAAACTGTGGGTAGTTGTAGATAAGGCCAATTACATGACAAAGCAAGTCCTCATGGAAGCAACAGAAGATCTACTGCCTCAGATGACCCTGGGGAAGCCTGAGACTGCTCATAGCTGGGCAGGAAGCAACGAAGAACATCCAGGGAGACTCTGGGCAAGGGAAATCATGTGTGAACGGGCTGTCAGGAAAGATATTTTTCAAGAGGCCCTAACTTATGGAAGGGAAGGGTTTGGAAATCAGGGTGATTTTTCTATGTGACAGCAATATCGAAGAGGCCAACAAAATAGCATGACTGAAAGATGCCTGAGAATTATGTGTTGCATTTGGGGACATTTGTATCATGAGCTAAAATAATTTTGAAACCTTGGCCCTTTTTCCTGGCACCTCAAGGTCCCTATGCCAGAGCCTGCAGGCGCAGTGAACACGTGCACTAGAGAATGTCTGCAAGTGAGAATTCTCAGTGTTACAAGAATCTGCCTGGCTGCAAAAGGCAAAGGCTCAAGAACGGAACACTTAGGGGACAAAAATGAACATAGCATCCTCATATAATTGCTTTCCAATGGACCCAGAGAAATAAACTTCAGTCCAACACGTCCAGATGTCCAGTCACACTCTTTTGGAAAGCTTGGTGTGATAGGAGCGGGGAGGGAGGCTACAGAAACAGACCATCCTGAAACTAACGTTGCTTGAATGTGCGTAAGTCAGAGGATGGAGAGAAAGGTGCCAGCTTATCACTGATGGCACATTTTTTCATAGTCTTGTAGGTCAAATCATTAGATCTCATTTTTGTGTTGAGTTATTTTCAACACATGAATACAAATGCACAGGTAAAGGGGGAAAAAAGATCAGAAGTGTACAAAATCCATTATGAGTGTGTGTTTTTTCCCTAAGGTAACAGAAGTACGTGTGACAATTCTTCTTTCTTGTTTATGCGTATTTGCGTTATTATTTGCACTTACATTTCATTGTTTACAAAGACTGTGTACTTTTGGAATAGAATAGTTGCTTTAAAAGTTTTAAAAAGCACTTTGGGAGGCCGAGGTGGGTGGATCACGAGGTCAAGAGATCGAGAACATCCTGGTCAACATGGTGAAACCCCGTCTCTACTAAAAACACAAAAAAAAATTAGCTGGGCATGGTGGCACGTGCCTGTAATCCCAGCTACTCAGGAGGCTGAGGCAGGAGAATTGCCTGAACCCAGGAGGCAGAGGTTGCGGTGAGCCGAGATCGCGCCATTGCACTGCAGCCTGGGTAACAAGAGTGAAACTCTGTCTCAAAAAAAAAAAAAAAAAAAAGTTTTAAAATACTGGATGAAGATGTATCACTTTGACGTCCCATACCTTAGTAAGATTGCTATAAGAAATAAGAGAGTCACACTGCCTCTGAAATCATAGCACAGTCCTGTTCTCCTAACCACATCAGGTACATTTATTTATGCCGTGGACATATTTATTCTAATGAAATGCCTTTCTTCTGAGAGCAGTGACTATTTGCAAAACATCTGTCAAAGCAAATTAAGGGCAAATTATACAATCACGTTATAAAAAAATAAGAAACTGAGCAAACTCTAACCCTACTCCCCCCGAACACAACAAAACAAACACGTAAAAACATAAGGAAGGGGGGAAAGCATCATTCATGCTTCTGCCACCAAGAAACAGCCACTGTTCATAATTTTGTGCATGTATTTATTTGAACATAGTTAAGACAATCCTGTACATGAAATTTGATTTTCTATTTTTTACTTTGTATGTCATAAGATCCTCCAGTCTTTAAAATGTTTTTCACTTTGAAAGCACAGAATGGAACTTCTATCCTCAGTCCATTACTGCAGAGAGAGCAGTCTCTCCAACTCATGACACTCTGCTACTATCTATCCTCAGTCCATTACTGCAGAGAGAGCAGTCTCTCCAACTCATGACACTATACTACTATCTATCCTCAGTCCATTACTGCAGAGAGAGCAGTCTCTCCAACTCATGACACTCTGCTACTACACGGATCACTGCATGTCCAAAAACAATGCTCTAACCTTAAGGAAGACTAATGAATAAAACAATAAAATAAAAACAAAACACATGGCTTTAAACTTTTTCATCCCAAACTGCAGGGAAACAGGCCCCATGGGACTCTGGGGTCCCTGTGTCATGCAC